GGGGGTTTAGGGTTTAGGGTTTAGGGTTTAGGGTTTAGGGTTTAGGGTTTAGGGTTTGGGGGTTCTCACCCACTAGTTTGTAGGGTTTGGGAGACAGGAAGGGTCTCAGAGTCTTAATGGGCCCGAGTCCCCATTTCCTCCCTCAACCCTCAACCCTCAACCCTCAACCCTCAACCCTCAACCCTCAACCCTCAACCCTCAACCCTCAGCCCTAACCCCTAAACCCCAAACCCTAAACCCCAAACCCTAAACCCTCAACCCCAAACCCTGAACCCTGAACCCTGAACCCTAAACCCTAAACCCTAAACCCTAAACCCTAAACCCTAAACCCTAAGCCCTAAACCCTAAAAGGTGATTCCAGTTAAAAAAAAACCCTAAACCCTAAATCTCCCTTGGCCAAGCCCAGGTCCGTGAGCTCGGGATCGAGGGCGCCCTCATGGCCATGCCGAAGAGAAAGCTCTGCCAGGTGCCTCACGGGAACGTCTGGGAGTATTTGGGTATTTGGGGGTTTAGGGTTTAGGGTTTAGGGTTTAGGGTTTAGGGTTAGGGTTTAGGGTTTAGGGTTTAGGGTTTCGGGTTTAGGGTTTAGGGTTTAGGGTTTAGGGCTAGGGTTTAGGGTTTAGGGTTTAGGGTTTAGGGGTTTAGGGTTTAGGGTTTAGGGGTTTAGGGTTTAGGGTTTAGGGTTTAGGGTTTGGGGGTTGAGGGTTTGTGGTTGAGGGTTTTGGGGAAGCCAAAAAGGCCCCCAAACACTTGAACGTTGATAGGTCGCTCGAAGTAGGGGGGGGGGTTGAGGGCTTCGGGTTTGGGTTCGGGGGTGGGTGCTAGTAGGGTTTAGGGTTTCCTGAACCCCGAACGGTCAGGTAGAGCCATCACCCCTAAACCCCTAAACCCCTAAACCCCTAAACCCCTAAACCCCTAAACCCCTAAACCCCTAAACCCCTAAACCCCTAAACCCCTGAACCCCTAAACCCCTAAACCCCTAAACCCCTAAACCCCTAAACCCCTAAACCCCTAAACCCTTAAACCCCTAAACCCCTAAACCCCTAAACCCCTAAACCCCTAAACCCCTAAACCCCTAAACCCCTAAACCCCTAAACCCCTAAACCCTAAACCCTAAACCCTAAACCCTAAACCCTACCCGTTACCACTCCAAGGGGGCCCTCTACCTTTGAGCCCTGTGGGAGGTGGTGGATGCCGTGACGTGCTGGCAAACCACGCTGCGTCGCGACTATCTGACACGGGTGCCTTGCCCGGAGGTTTAGGGTTTAGGGTTTAGGGTTGAGGGTTGAGGGTTTAGGGTTTGGTGGTTTCGGTGTTCCGAGGTTGTTTTTTCGGGTTAGGGTGTAGGGTTTCAGGGCTTCGGGGCTTAGGTCCGAATGCACTCGCTACCAACAAAAAACACTCCTGCCGCTTAGGTTCTTAGGGCAGTTGACAGAAGGGGATGCTGCCATTTGAAGCGGACTCTTCATCCTGCTAAAAATGTGCAACCCTTCATATGCATGCCCAACCCCCTCTTGGTTTTCCCATGCCGAGGGGGGGGGGAGCGGGTGGTAGGATTTAGGGTATGAGGGTTTTAGGGTTTGGGGTATTTAGGTATTTAGGGTTTAGGGTTTTCAAGGTTTTGTGGGTTTTGTTGTTTGGGGTCGCAGGTGTTTAGGGTTTAGCATGGGTTGAGGCCATGCATCAGGATCTCGCACCCCAGAGGCCAAAGACCCCCAAACTCCTGCCCAAGCTTGACGTGGGTTCCGCAGGTTTTGCCTGCTTTCTGTGGGGGCATCCAGCACTCGGTGGGGCCTTTGGTCCGACTGCTAGGGATCGCTGATCCCTTTTCACGCTCTGACCCGGAATCTGCACCGGCTTCCTCCTTGCCCTCTTTGTCGTCTTTCGTGCCTCGCTCTTTCTTCCTCGGCCCGGACTTCGCCTCTGCTTTCGAGACCCGCAGTCTCCCCGCCATAGGCCCCAGGCAAACTCTGCATGCGCTTCCGAACCCTCTTGCATGGGTGAGAGTTTGCAGCCCGTCTGCGAGGAGGTGAGGTTTCAACCCTCTGCCCGAGGTGTGGAGGTCACTTTGGAGGTCGCAGGCCGGACATGCGGGAAGTGCGTCTGAAATCAGAACGAAGAGGAGATGTCGGATTGCCACCCACTGCCTTATGGTCTGGTTTGACCTCTTGGCCGGTTTCCACCCGCCTTCGTGACTTGGGGTGGAGGCAAGGTTTCGGACCATCGGTTGTGATCCCCAGCTCCGTGGTGCAAAAAGTCACAGCATTTTCTTTGCTCCCGAAACCTGAAGACTGCGCACCTGCATAAACCCCTAGGGTAGGTCCATGTAGGTCCCCCCGTTCAGCGGATCCCTGCTTGTGTCCCTTACCGGGGAGCCCTCCCCCTCCTCTCCGCTCAGGAGCATCAAGTCCTGAAGCCTGGCGACACCGTCGGACTCTACAACGAGCACTCGAAGCAGTTTGTGAGCCGCTCGGGTGGAGAGAAGAAGCAAGTTGCTTGA